AGGTCTTTCATGTCAAAAAAAAAAAACTAATGCCACTAATGAACAGGAAGTTTGCGAAAGCAACTTTGGAAAGCAACGCCTTGGATCCTCTGCTTCCTGATTTCGTCATGATGTCCAGACCACGAACGGTTCACACATTTGGACGGTGTTAGAAGATGGCACGGGTTGCCGAAGCAGGATGATCAACAGAGCTTTCCACATGTGAAATATGAGCACCCGTCCGGAAATAACAAATCTCAGAACGTTTTTTTTTGCCATGGTCGATGGTCGTGGAAAGCTGCCAGCGGCAGTGGCCTTACCTGTCAGGTTGGGATTCCACGAAGCGTTTGATGTTTGTTTGTAGAACCCCGATTCATAAGCTCCTCGCAGATTCGACTCCGGATCTGCATGGAAGCTTTGGTAGGGAAGTTTGGAAAATTCACGAATGGCTAACCGCCTAAACAATCCATGGTGGCCTTGCGTTTGTCCTTCAAAGGTCGGGGGTCGCGAGCTTGGTGAGCGTCTCCACCGAGCAGACGAGGCTCTTCGCCAAAACATGGGGTTTTGCCGTCCACAGAAAAAAGGGGGGAAGAGGGTTGGGTTGGCAGAGGATTTTAAGTGTAGGGTTTAGGAAATGCTCGCATATATATTTCTTTCAGAGGGGCCTTCAAGGGTAAGTTTTTGTGGACATTCGGGGTCATGCGACCAGTTTGGGAGTTTGGGCTTGGGGTTCGGGGTAATGGGATGCTCAGATGACATACATGTAGCTTGTTCTACTATCGTCGGGTGGCATCTTTGGGCATGTGTGGAACCTTGAGGGGAGTGGGGGTGTGCGCTGCGACCGGAGTCAAGGGAGCATCCCAACCCCAAGCCTGAAACCCCTAAACGTCCTAAACTGCCCGAACCCCTGAAGTCCACCCAGGGCATGTGCTGCAGCAGGAGTAGTTCTTCCTGGTGTTATGTGCCTGCCATCGACGTGTGCAACCAGGCCTCAGGCCTCTATTTGTGATCTTCGGGCAGACGTGCTTACGCTGGTGTTGCCGTGCACCCAGGCAGCTAACTTCCAGGCTTGATTTTCCACATGGTGAGAGTTTGAGGTCGTTTCTCGACGTGACTTCACTTTCGAAAGCTTGCTCATGGAACCACGTAGCACAGAGGCCGGGGTTGATGCCGTAGCTTTCGGAGCATGGCTGTGTATCTTCAAGACCACAAGTCGACGGAAACTAAAGATCCACATGGGCTGCAACATCGCGCTGCGGCCACAAAACTTGTATCTGGACCAGTTCAAGGAAAGCCCTGTCCACAGGCTTGCAGCAGTGCACGAGCACTGGCGGGAGCCACAGCGATATGCACGGCACAGCTCTGTCACAGCACTGCGAAAGATGCGACAGGCACCTGTTCGTGCTTCAGTTCTTCGGCGTCTACTATGACGATTACATGCGCTTTTTGGAGGCCTCCGCATCCCAAGCTCTAACCATGGGGCCGGCGCGGCCGTGCACAAGCACCAGCACCTGTGAAGAGGTGTGGGACGATGGCAGATGGCGGCGACTCTTTATCTACATTCGACAGGTCACAGCACAGTAGTTTGGAGACGGATGTCCATATGGTTCTATCTCCAATGATTCGGCAATTTGTGTCGCGTGTTGGGAAATTAGCTCGCTGCGAGTTTTCATTTCAGTTTCAAAAGCTCCGGATTAGTACTGCCTAGTATTTGGAAGTAAGATGTGTGCATGGCAGTGGGGCCAAAGTGTGTTTGGAAGCAAGAGACTCAACATGATCCCGCAGAGCTGTTGAAAGGTCCACCACAACGTGGACCAGCAGAATGCGACGAAAAGGACCATGCCTGCCCTGTCAAACACTGAGACGGCCACGAACATGGCTTCTCGCTCAGCTGCGGGCTGGCACCATTTGCATGCCAAGGCTGAGGCCTTGCGCCTGGCTTGGAGAGGCAGGACGCATGCTTCTTCACTTCTTCCTTCTTGTCCACCACAGCATCCAATCTCCGTGGGATTGCGAGAGATTAATTGTACGTGTTGGGTTCATTCTGAAGGAACTCTCTATCAAGCCTACTGTCGCCACTGCTCTCGTGTGTCGCCATCTCTTTGTTGCTGGCTTCCTCAGGCTTTCGATGGTGCCTGCCTCATGATCTTTGCCGATGCACCGAAGTTCACATCCCCAGCTGTTCACCGGTCGATGCTGACTAGGGGGCTGGGACTTAAGGTGATCACGGATCGTCTGGAGTTCGCGGCCAGACAAGGAGGTGTCTTCGGCGTCTCACAGTGGATAAACAGGAGAACGCATCTTGAAAGGCATGCTCGGCGAAAGCGTTATCGCGGCAGCCGCAAGCCCCGGCTGTACGAGAAAGTAGAGAATATTTTTCCTGGACAAGCAAGACTCCGTCGTTACCAAGGTTTGGAGGTTGCAGACAACTGCTGAGTCCTTAGTTTTTTTTTGCATCTCAGATCTCCGTGAGACTATGCGCTGATGGCGAGCTGGCGGAATGCAGTATTGCCTCGTGTAGCATCTCGCATGAGGCAATGTCTTCTTTTGGGAGAATGGCCGTGTGGTGCAAGTGGTCCGTTGCAGCGACGGGCAGGTGCATCGCAGTAGTGTTGTGACGCAGGAGCATAGCGGTACCAGCACGCTGGCAACAGAGCTCGCAAGCCGCTCCATACTGTATCGTCGATCGAAAGGTTCTCAGGGAGATTGACACAGGACAGACTTTCAAAAGCAATGGCCTCAGGCAGAGAAGTCCACCAGGACAACAAGGTCAGGGACAAGGGCAGGGTGTCAGACCTGAAGATCCCCTGATCCCACCAGCACGACGGGACCTCTTTTTCATCTTGAGTCTTGATGTTCAGGATGCTTCCACAGACTCGCCAACGTCAAGAACAAGCTGTTCGTCTGCCTGAATGATTGCATCAAGGTGGAATGCTGAACGGCTCAACTGCAGGCATCGTCATGGGTCTGCGCAGCTTATCTATAGGTCTGGGAGTACGACAGCTCACTTGAGCCAGTTACGCTTCCAGATGCCAAGCCAGGGCCGCAGCTTTATTGAGAGTTTTGCATGGAGTTGCGGTGTTCGGGGTTTGTTTGTTTGTTGAGGCATCCCGGCTTGCTTTCAAGAGCAGCGGCCCCAGCAAGCCCGGGAGGGCTGGAATGCGCAGGCAGCCCTTTGTCAGGTTGGTCGCCCCCTTGAGCTGTTGGTGCACAGGCTGGCAGCATGCAGCAGCATGCAGCAGCATGCAGCAGCACCACGCAGCACCACTGAAGTTTCGTTGCTTCATGCAGGCAGCGGCTCATCCTGGTGGAGAGTAGCTGCTGCCTTCTTTGGCACACGGAGACCTTGGAGTTTATTTGCTGCATCGAGGTGGGGTAATGCCGGTGTTGCCCTAGCCCCCTAACAGACCTCTCAAAGAGTGTCGCCTCGTGCCAGCATGATGACATTGGTACGAGCTTTGGCAGGAAGAGTTCGGTTCCTAGAACATTTCAATCCCTACCATGTCAGTGTGCTGATTTGCAGGTCCCACCACTGAGATCGAGCGTTCACCCGGCATGACCCCTAGAGAAGCAGACTCTGGCCGGGTGTCCCGACGTCGCTTCTTGCGAGGTGCACGCGACACACTGGAGGCACTCCCCGTTCTGACTAAATTCACTTTGCAGCTTAAAGTTGGCTTTGCAGGTCCAGTGGATGGGGGACTTGTTGATGACCTGGCGCCATGCTGCTCCTCATGCTGGTCATGTGGCAGCCGACCCTGTGCAGGTGCTCTTTGAAGAGCAGGGAAGTCATTCTTGGAGAGTGTTCCCGCTTTTCTGGACAGATGCCCTGGCCAATCCGGAAGAGCCCAAGTAGTCATGAGGCATTGATAGTCGTTCTCTCAATCTGGGGAGAGGTGTCCGTATATGAGCATGAAGCAAATGAGCAAGAGGACTTTTTTGCACGACACTATGGCTGGAAGAGTGTGGAAAACGACACCAAAGTTTTCCATAGCATCCCTGATAGAGGTAGAGGCAGATCATGACATGAACCGTATTTCGCTTCAAGTACCTCATGACAAGAACAGTTCCGGTTGCGGAACGACGTTTTGAAACGCCAAGCTGTCGAATCTCGAACATCAAACGTCACGTCTTGTTCCAGCTTTGGAGAGATTTGCCTGGCGTGTCTTTGTGGTTGGTCTTTGCTCTCACAACTTCGGAAAAGAGCCAAGATTCTGGCACTTGTACTTCTAAGAAGCATTGATGGTAGTGGGCGAAAGGTGCCTTACAGATATGGAGCATGCTTGCAGAGTTCCATGGATGTCAGTGCCACCGGTGGGTCTAGGCCAGAGACGGTCCTGAAAGATAGTCAGGCAGGGGCGCGCTGCCTTGAGGACAAAATTTTCTCATGAAGATTGAAGAGTGCCGCGGCGAGCATGTGTGGGCGAATGTCAGAGCGATTCGACGCACGGGGCACTGTTGTATGAGGCTACCGTGGAGGAGTAGTTTGGACCTGAGTGGGGTGTGGTCTTTCAGGAGTACTGCGATAAAGCTATCAGATAGCTTTGTCTCTGAACAAGATTCTTGTTCAGAGACAGGAGTCTGACCGTATTCTTGATTAAAGTGGACATCGGAGAGCTGTGAAATACTGCCGTGCCACACAAACCAGGTGACCGGCTGGCAACGAGTAGGAACGGCGTTTCCCTGAAGCAAGAAGCGAGCATGCCAAGAGTCTGTGTAGACAGTGACATGCTCTCCCTGCTGACAGGGGGAGGAAGGAGAGGCTCAGGGAAAGCCAAGGTTTCGCTCAGGAGCCGTCTGTACGCATGAGTAAGGATTCAAAGCCGAGGAGAACAAAAACGTCGTCCCAGCTTGCCTTTTTAACCTTGCAGGGCAAGGTAAAGCCGTGGCAACATCTTGAAAGCTTTAAGGACACCTCGATGAACACTCTTGATGTCGCAACGGTTTGCCATCGCGGTGTAGGATGGACGAGCATGACAATGTCTGCAGTGGGAACGTATGCAACACTCTCCGCGTGCGCTCGTGCGAGGTTTTTCTGGAGCGCACTATAGTGTCACGGATAGCAGTCGTGGCATTTTCCGGTGGAACAGTCTTGCTCCGTGCTTCCTCACGATCTCACTGGTGGAGACGCCAGCGCACCACGTCCGCATGGCCTCCCCGCGAACTCTGCTGGTTCCCTTCGTGGTGCTCGCATTCCCAATCATGTCGCGGTGGAATGCATGGAGAGGCCAAAACTGACTTCGGAGCTGTACTTAGGCTGCTGTTTCGTCTCTGGGTCCCCAGTGCAACCGTCAATCCGCCTCTGCGGCCTGGGGACCTTGGCTGCATCCTTTCCTTCGGGCTTACGAGCCCTGCATCGAGCATACCGCGTGGTCCTCAAGCGATTTCATGTACCGCCCCATTCTGGGATGCAGAATGTTTTTTTGCTCGCAGAGCAATGTCTTCTTCACCTGGTCAAGTATCATGGACAGTGTCGAGGATTCATTTCTGCGCCTTGATTCGCCCAGCCAATGGGCATTGTGTCAACCTTACCCCCACGTCATTGACGCTAATATTTGAGAGTCTCTCTTTGCTTCAAGTCTTCCAGTAACAAGAACACTAGCCAGTACCCATAACATGGGATCTCCCATGCTTTTTCGGCATCGACATGATTAAGGCCCCTTCTATCACTTCCTCCTGGAAGTGGACTGTTTGTTACTCGATCGTCCTCTCGATTTTGATGTAATCTATGGGCAGTGTTCTTTTGCCCTCAACTCTCTCAGACAGATGCTCTACACTGAAGTCTGCGGTTGTCGAGATTTCAACCCCTCACAAAAGGACTGCTCCAACTCTTTTCTGCCTATCCATGCGCAAACCCGCATGATGTGGATGGACAACATTTCACTTTACAGAACACTTCCCCGTGTATATAATTCGCGCCAAGCGGCAAGCAAGCCGAGGAAACCTGGGGGCGGAGGATGTTTAATCAGACCCGCTGGTAGCAGTGTAGGACTAGGATTCGGTGCTGATGGAGAGCCTAGAACCTGCGAGCAATTCCTGTAAGCGCAAGGCTTCGGCGAGATTGTAGCAGAGGGACAACAAATCAGCTTAAACAAGGGGTACGGACAGACTGACAAAGCGGGCAGCATTGCTAAGACTGTAGAGCTCGCTTTGTTCATGCTATCCTTGTCGTGATTGCTTGTCATGCCAGACAGAAAGTCAGCCTCGCGATTTGATTTCTTTGTCTTGTGTGCACTCATGCCCGGTGAAACGAACTGGAGGGAGTGTTTTGAGCATGCTCTCCAATCTGCCTTTTGCGAGGGCCGTGGCAGCCAGCGATCTTTGAATGTCGCGACCCTAGAGGATGCCTGCACCTGGCAGGAGACAAGTCTTTGTGCGTGTGCGCAAGAGGTGTGGACACTGGACGGAGAGCCTCGGGCTTTCTTGCAAACAGACAGCCCGCTTGTGCAGGCACACTGGGTAGACGCCAGTTCTGAGAGTTGACTGCGGTGTGAAAGCAGGTGGATGTGGCGCGTGTGACCTGGGTGTCTGCTGTGGGCCCGAGCATTCCATACCAGAATACAGGCAGCATGCAAGTGCTGGTTTGTTGGAGTAAGGTCTACACCTTGGATCACTTCATCATTTGCGCATTGGATTCGAGGTTTGCCCCTAGGAAGTGTCAAGATCGCTGCAGTTACTTTACCGTGTGAAGATGACCACAGCTGCACATCCAGCTCCATGGCGTATCCGGATCACTGCAGAAGTCAAGCTTGGCACCGAAGCATCCCTTGGCACTGGCAGGTCAGTGATAACCCTTTGGGACTCCAAAGCTGGCTTTTCTCCCATATTTCGCTTCTACAGCGGCTGCGAGGTGGGAAAGCACGGTGCATTGAAGAACGTCCTGGAAGCGGTGCAAGCAAACGAGCCATCTTGCCAGGAGCCCTTCGACTTGGTGCTGACGCAGGTTCAGAAGGGGTTTATGTCCTGAGTTTCTAGCCTCTTCACTATCTCTTCTGCATGTGCTGGTTGCTGCAGGATTTCATGGTGGTAATTCAGGACAACATGTCTGCAAATCGTCAGTTACTCAGGCTGCTGAATCTGCAGTGGCTTCCGCGGTGGCTGGGTTCGTGCCTTCAGGTCTCGATCTCTTCTTCTGGAAGCTCTGGCTTCACCCAGGCTTCGAGGCCCATCAACCTCAGCTGTCTGCTTGCTGGAGGCATCATCATGACAGGTGGAGGGCCAATCCATGGAAAGTGGAATACTTACAGGGGTCGGTTCAGTGACTCAGAAGTCAGGCAACGAACGTTCGAGCCTACCGCACAAGGCTCTGAAAGACGACAGCTCGCAGGACTGTGAATGCCACCTGCTGGAGAGGCATGGTTGAGATTTGCCACGATTTTCCCTCAGGAAGACACCAACGAGAGGCTGGCTCAGCACGGATCATCGCAAAACGTATCACGGGTGTGCTCTAGTTTTGTGATGTGGGAAGCCAGCAATGAGTCCGAAGGGTCATCACACAACGAATCATCAACTGAGCAAAAATTTGTCCAGTCTCAGGCTTCTGTGCAGAAGTCACGACTACCGGCTGCAGCTCGATTTGCACCTCAAGGAGCGCCGTTTTGAGATCCCATGCATGTAGATGTGTCAGAGAGATGTCGCAGCTTGATACCTCACTTACAAGGTGGCGCTGCTCTTCCTGCTCCAGCCTGATAACGCCGTGCACCACACGCATAAAGGCTTCCTGAAGTGCATGAGGCAGCAGTTGGGACCGGCCTCGTTGCCGTTTTGGATCTGGCCGGCATCCCGGGTCAAAGGTCATCTGGATTTTACACCCCAGGAGCCTCTGAGAGCTCACCAGGCTTCTGCAGCTGCTGCGCAGCTCAGTGGCGATGCGTTGCAGAGACGAGCTCAGCTGAGCAATTCTGTGCTTTCCTGTGTGTCCGGAGCCAGCAATACCATGAACCCTCATTCGGAAATGGACGTGTTTGAACTGCATAAGTTCAACAGGCTATGGCACGAGTCCATTACATGTTCTCTGTCAGGAATCTCCATTTCGTGTCAAGCGAATCAAATCCCAAAAATATCGTTGTACTTGGTAAGCATTTCCATACCGATCAGGAGGAGCAGTCGGGGCTGATGAGCTCGCACAGTAGAGCTCTGCGCATGCAGAAGAGGACCGAACCGTCGCCCAGCAATCGATATCTGTTCCCAGAAGTTCCACTTGTGGAAAACATGACGACTAGATGCCCCCATTGCCTTGTTCGCCTGACTGGTTGCTTGTTCCGGCCCGCTGAGCCGTGGGAGAGCGTTGTACTTGACTTTATATTGCCCAGCATCTGTTCCTGTAGAACGGGTCCTGTAGGATCCGTCAGTCGATTCGCGTTTAGGCTGGGCACAACGCAACGTGGGCCTCCACGCAGGTTCATCCCATCTCTCGGTATTGCCACCATGGTTCTAAGTGGTACTTCCGTTGAATGCTGCCGCGTTGTCATTATCAGTGACTTGAGTGCTATGATCCTTCACACGATTGTCAACATCTACCTTGTCAGGGGCCACCTCATTCCCTGCAAGCTGGTTACTCGAGGTCACTAATCCGTATGCTCTTCTGCTTTGCATGTTTTCTGCTTCGCTGGAGCTCGGGGATGCTCTTGTCTTCGTTGACGCCAGAAGAACGGCCAAGCCTGGATATCGACGATCTACACACTACTTGCACTTTTCACGACGATATGTCCCTCCCCTGGACCTGCTGTGGTTATTCTCCCCTTCGCCCGGAGCTTGCTGGGACCTCAGGGGCGGCTCTGAGGCCTGGGATTCCAAGCAGAAGAGCACCCAGGGGTTTTTCTGTGGCTGGAGGCCGATGTGTTTCTTTGCAGGAGGGTTCCCGGTACGCGCCGGGTGATCACGGTTCTACACTTGACATGAGCTGATGGAACTTCTATCGGGATGGATCCTGGTTCGCGAGTGGAGTGCGCGGTTACGTAAGTGTCAACGCGCAGCAGGTCGGATTGATCCCGGTTCGGGCCTGGTATGCGCGGTTGCGCGTGACATGAGCTGATGGAAGCTCTGTCGGGATGGATCCCGGTTCGTGCCTGCTGTGCGCGGTTGGCCACGCGGTGTGCCGGCTCTAAGGTTTTTCAAAGTTTTCTCAGTGGTTTGATCCTTGAGCCTGCGGGCCGGAGTTGATGCTACTGCTACCCAACAAGCCATGCCTTTGGTCCCTCCACTCCAGTCCACTCCGCTTCACGATATGTCCCTTGACTGCTCTTAACAAACACCTCCGACAGGGCCATGCATTGATTATGATTATGACATCACAAAGTAGCCTTGCTGCATGCAGGTTGCCTTTCTGGCCACCATGCCTTTCCTCCTTACACCCCTAAGGGCATGTTGCTCCAGGCAATAAGTTAAATATTAGTTGGATATAGGGTTGTCCGACCTTTGGTGGGTTTCGGACAGGCGACCCACGGCCGGGCTTTCGATGGGTAGTGCGGAACCAGGGAATGCATAAACACGAGCGAACAAAGTGCATGCATACGATGTACTCTGGTGGGCAACTTCATCTGCAATCTGAACGAGGCGTTGGGATTTAGTAGAAACCCCAGATGATGCCAATCCCATTTCCTGGAGGTTGTAGTTAATGAGTTTATAGAAGTACACCAACGAGGTGGGGTGAGAGCTGGGGGAGCAACACACACACACATCAAACGGAATTCAGGAAGACTAATTTCTTGCTCGGGGATGGGACATCGACCCAAAGAGCTCGGTGGAACGGCTCCCTTTGTACATTGATACCACCAGCGAAAGTGACAGGGTATTCATCACCACTTTCCACGAGACCGAATGGTGGCTCGCCGAGAAACGGTGACTCTTCCGGATATTGCCTCCCCCACTTCCTGTCCAGAATGGTGTGACGCCTTAGCACAGCCAGCATCCCTGCAACAGATATGCGACAGAGGACCGAAGAATTCATAACCATAGATTCTTAAGAGCTGCTGGGCTCTTTGACATCCTCGTCCAGGCGCTTTCTGTACAAAGAACTTCGACCAAATTGTCGCCTGATCAAGACGCGCGGAGCCCGGCAAATGTCCCACGAGCAACATCACGACTGTGGACATCTAAGGCTCAGCCTTCCAGATATCGACACTTATTTCGCCTCGTACAGGCCAGGGTCTGCATTACGCATGCGAGTCAAGGGTTTGAAACTCATCTCTGCGACACTCTCTGCGCGAGCAAGCGTGCTGACCTTGTGAATGTCTGTCACACGGGAGGTTAAGCTGATGTGAGCAAGAGTGTAAGAGCCCATGTTCGTGTCATGAAGTCAGGAATGCGGTGACATGGTCCGTAAAAGTGAATGTCGATTTTGTATGCATGTTGCAGGCTGCTTGCAGCAGGCTGGAGTCTTTGCATCTAAACGACTGGAGTGCGTGTAAAAACGCTACACGGAAACTTGCAGGATAATCCTCGAATATGCAATCCGAGGACTACGCGTACAGTTACCATGGTTTTTATGATTTACGAATTACCACAGTGGCCACTCACGCCACAACGGTTTGTTCGCTGACGTTCCGTTTGAGTGCTTGGAAGCACGGACTTGAATTCGAGCGAAATGGCCAGTTGCTCTCGTTGCTTGCACCGCTCCCAGCAGCTGCCGCAGGAATTTCCTCAATGTTTGCTCCTTTCACAAATCGGGTCAGGCCTGTTTCCATGTGCTAGAGAGCTGTTGACTTTTGACGAGGGCTTCTTGCCGCATACTGTATGGCAAGGAATCGCTGAGCGTCTATCGTTCCAGTTCACTTCAGTGGCCGGCTAAGGCTTGTGAGGTGTTTTGTTGTCTTGATGGCTTCAGTGCTGTTCGCCTGCTGCATGCTACTTGTGGTGCTAGTCATTGGTATTAATAGAGTCCGAGGTTCTGCAAGCACTGTGATGTTGAGAACAAAGTCCCCAATAGATCCTATTCCTATTGCAGACATGTTCTGTATGAGTAGCTGCAAGCATCCCATTCGTTGTGTTGTGTGCGATCACTCCAGTCGCCTGGCAGACGGCGACGACTACTAATAGTAGCTCCGCCCCCCACTGCTACATCTGGTAAGGCTATTACTAGTTTTCGTAGACCTAGCACTACCACTGTGAGGCCTCGACTGGAGTCGTCAACCATGAACTTGCGCTTAGATGCTTCCTTCTTTCCATCCTGACATATGCGCTCGCCAATCTGAAGTGTTGTCTGCTGGTGCCCAGGAAGAAAGTGTTTTTCCCACCCGCAAAGCACACCAAGTTCGAAGAATGGATGCTTGGATGCAGATCATGGTGCTTCGCAGGATCTAGGCATTTATCCTGTTCAATCACTGAGATTTCGGCTCCAGCTGAGGATTGCTTTGCAGGTACAGCTCTGTGCGGGAGACAGGCTCATCCGCTTGGTCCGCCTGCCAGGTGCACAATGATGGCACGGTTGTGGTCTATGACTTCAGACCCAGCCAGGTCATCTTCTTGTTTCCATAGTGCCAGAGGGCCGTCGATGCCTGTGCAGATGGCCTTCGATGAGCTGCTACTGCAAGGCCATGGAGGCTCTGAAATGCTCTGTCCTGTAGCTGGCACACGTGTAGGCGCAGTCTCGGGCGCATCACTTGGTGAAGAGGTGCATGAGTGTGTGCAAACAGACAACTTCCCGGACAGGGCTCCCTTGTTCCGATGCGAAACAGCCGGGTTCCCGGTCCAAGAGTTGCAAAGTTCCAATCTTCGAGGTGTTGTCCGTGCAGGCCGCAGAAGCACCTGCCCGTCAGCGGTCCTCGATGGCTTCGCCGCCCTGTTGCTGGACTGTTGCCGTTTGGCTTCAGTTTGCTCGTCTCGTGTCAGACTCCGTGTTTTACAATAGCGATTCAGACACAGACACCACCGTAGTGCTCTAACAGATGTGGCAACATTGAATGCCCGACCTGATCCTTCGCATGCGCACTGCTTTGTCAGCCAGGGTCATGGGCTCAGACGTTCCAGACGCGCGTGATCGATTCATCAGACTCTTGGCTGGGCCGTCATGGGCCTGGCGCACTTCACTGGAACACCAGCTGAACACTGGAGTTCAAAGGGTGCACAAAGACTGCACCAAGGCTTCTCATGGGTGAAGTCTTGTTCCGTCAACGAATATCCGAATAGCCTGTTAGCTTTTTGGGATTGTGGGTTACGATGTTTCCAGTTACTTGGTTTCTGTCACGCTGCTTTCGCATTGACCCTGTGGATAGTCGGGCTGCGCGCCATGCAAAAGGCAAAGGAGGCTTTTGGTCTTGGCAGACGCGTGTTGCACACTTTGTGGCGCTTTGTGAGTGTGCCAAACTGCAGCTTCAAGCACTGCATGTACTCGAAATCAATCCGGTTCAGGCCATGCAGTGCCCCACGAACGTAAGTCCCCCGGCAGCCGCAATACTTCGAAGAGTTCAGATAAAGTTGAAAGCCTAGTAGTCCTTGGGGGCTCTCGGTTCTCCCCGCCTCGTGCAACATGCCAGCAGCTCAGAAAGGGACTTCGGTGAGAGTGTTTGCGGTATTGTGGAAGTGCCAAGGTGTGACATCCAGGTTCACACCGTCACCAGGTGATCTTTCGTGGTGACTGGTTGCTAGTGGGCAGCATCATGCATGGCGCATGCCAGAGATCAACCGCTTGTAAATCTGACTCTGCCGCAGCCATACGCCACTAGCATAGAATGGGCCTTATTATGGTTATGACTACAGTGTAAGTTTGATTCCGCAGATTGACTCGACAGCTCGCTGCGAGTGCTCGCACATCAGACAGTTTGAGCATCAGTTTTTGCCCGTCATGCTGCAACTGGGAAGACCCTGCTTGGCCTGGCGGACTTGTGTTCTGAAGGCCTAAGCTTCGCAGAAGTTCATGTTGCACGATATCGCCAGAATGCATCAGTGATGTGCTCGATTCACAGCATAATTTGTCATTCTCTGATAGGGGCCCGCCCGTGTGTGCCTTCTTCGTGCCGCAGCTCCATTGCAACGGGAGTTCCGCTTCGTCACCACCAGTGCAGCGGCAGGTGGGGCAATAGAGGTGCGCTTTTCGCTGTTGAATCTGTCACTGCCCCTGGCGCCGAAACGAGGAAAGGAAGCCAAGGCGAAGAGCATCTCTCATGACTTCACTGACTCCACCGTGGCCTTTGAGTCCAAGACCCTGTGCACTTCAACTGAAACTTTGGAACATCTTTAACGAGATTTTTGCGAGCTCTTGCGACTCGCTTTCGTCATCTTGGAACCAAGGGGAGCTCGTTCGTGCTTATTGCGTGTTCCAGACTTGCGCCATTGGTCCAATCGTGCGTCACTGCGACACACTCTACGACTACTCGCTCAAGATCCTCGGTGCCAGGCTCTTTACACGGATGCATGATCCTGCTGCTACTGAACCCAAGCTGTTTGCAGGCTAACTCATCTCCTCCTCAGAAAGACCTTCTTCGACCATTTCTGTGCAGGAGAAACCAGCCAGGACGCATGTGTCAATCTTGGCTTTAGCTTGCCAGAACTGAATCATTTTGCCACGATTTCTACAGGGCAGTTTACAACTCGCCTCAGTATCACTTTCTCATTGCTGTTGTCTCTGTTGAACGTGTCACTGGCCACTGGACTCTGCCAGGGCATTCGCATTCGCAGTGGCATGTCACCGTCGCGCCCAGCTAGTCAACTTGGCACCCTCATTTGCTTCCTCCTCATTTGCTTCCTGCTCCATGCAATTCACTCGTCTCCACCTGCGATGCGAGTTTTCTACGCCGGATCTCCTTTATGGTCAGCCACGTTGTGAAATCTGCAGGAGATAGTGCCTCGAATGCACGAGCTTCGCAGATACAACGTCCTAGCCTTGGCCTGTCTCCCACGAGCCTTTCTGCATCTTTGTGCTGTGTCTCGAGAAGCCCTGAGGTTGGAGGCATTTTGGACTATGCGGCAGAAGCAAAAGACGGAGAACTGCCGGAAATCGTGAAGCCGACGGAAGAAGTCAGTGAGGAGGCCTCGTGGCTGCACCACTGGAGTGGCAGGCACACCTGTGTCTCTCGATATCACCTTTTTAGGAGATTGTCGGAGCACCAATGAGCAGCCGCAGCTACGACTACAAGAATGAGGCACCGAGAAGTGCCGCTCAAATCCACCGGCTGGCAAAACGGTTGTTGGCCATTTGTATCTGCGGATGCATGCAAGGCACTTTGCGATGCGAATGCTCGGATATTTCGGACAGCTGTTCGTGCAGTGAAAGACGCAACACCAGACGGCTTGGCTGCAAGTCTTCCAGACTGCTTCGCATTCTTCAGTACGTGTACCAGAACATCTGAACTGTCGTGAGCCGAGGACGGCTTTGCTGCGATCAAGTTGTCTGGCCTGGGGAGTCCTGCCTGCCCTGTGCTTGTGCGTGGCAGCGCAATGCGATGTGTATTCGGTTCACTCTCAATGTAGAGTTCGAGCCGAGGAACCCACAGCTGCTTGAGCGGATGTCTACCTGCCTTGGGGAGATCTGTCGATTGTGACCTTGCCTGGCAAGGTTGCAGAGCCATTCGTTTTGGCGGCGTTTCCTACCAGTGGTGCGCAGTGTTGTGCGCATCGGGTTGAATGGGGTCCGCGCCAGGTACAAACGGCTCTCGCACGACGATGAGGTTTCCGAGCCGTTCTATGCTGCCTGCCTTCCATTTCAAGCCTCAGAAATTGTTCCAGTTCAAGACTTCCGAGAGATGTGGCGAAGTCTAAGGCCATAGACCGGTCTTTCAAAATGGATTTCGAAACCTTTAAGACGGGCTGGCTCAAGATGTTTGAGGGCAAGACTGAGGCGCCACGTCCGCAAGACGTCTTCAGCCGTTGGAGCTAGGAACCTGGCCCTCGATCGTGACAGCCTCAGTACAGGCCGAGCTCAAGTCCATGTTCGAGACGATGGACACCGATGGAGATGGGCCATGTGCTGAGATGGACTGAGAGTTTTGAAGCTGCATTCGGGTCTCGGTTCGAAAAGAAAATCTCGGGGACTTAATCTCGAGGCAGATCAGCTATCTGGAGTGGTCATCGAGTGTCAAACTGTCCGAAATCAACGAGCTGGTGCGAGGGTGCAAGCACCGAGGAGTTCTCATGTCACATACCCTTGCAAGATCCTGCTCACCGCTTCTGCGGTGCACTTTTGCCAGCTTCGAAGGACGACTGCACCGTGCTGCACTCAACGAAGAGGAGCTCCAGTTGTACAGCCACATGATTGCAGTATGTAGACGCCCCTTCCGTTGGGCAAATAGTAGGAGGCTTGAGAAGCTAAGGAAACATGCTGCAGCGGGTTCAGGGAATCCTGGATCTGGCCCAGGTGGGCTGGTCACGGCTAGTCCGCTTGTGGAGGTGCTAGTCGGGTTTCAGCTTTGCAGGAACTCGGAGTACGCGTAATGCAGCTTGGCTCGAAGCCGTGGTCCTTGAGACATCCCGAGGCTGTGTGTAGACGAGCCTAGGATCGATGCGGAATGGACTGACATCCAGCCTGCAATCGATCACATCACCATCTTCATGCAACGGAGACTCGGACTTCCAGAGTTCAGATGATCTCAGACGTTCTCAAGTCGCTGCGGCCGAGGATATACAATGCAGGGGAGCTGCCGATTGCCTGTCACTCGGACGTGCTAGCAATAGCTAACATGGCTGTTGAGATCGTCCAGGTTTACAATACGTACCAGACGTACCTCAAGGCACTGCCCGTGTATGAACTTGGCAGTTTGCCACCAACGCTGGTCTGCCAGTCCGATCTTCAAGCTTCCGTATGTTGAGCTCCGGCAGGGTATGCCCACCAGAGTCCAGCGAGACCTACAAAGATCCAGGTGCCTTGTCGTTGTTTCTTGTGCCTCTCCCCGCATGTTGCACAAGCTTACATGCATTGCTCAGCGATGCGCAGCACCGTCCGGGTCTCACCTCCGACTACCACAAGAGTGTCAGCACAGCAAATGAAAGGCCACTTCCATAGACACAGATGTGATCGGAGGAGATTTGATCGCAAATCGACCCACTTCACTGGGCTGCTCGAAGCACCCCCGCAACAGAAATACAGCAACAAACCTTGCGGAGCCTAATCCCTCGGACAAGGGCCGCAGGAGCACAGAATTCTGAGTCCGAGCCTCGTTCACCCATTGTTGTGGCACGGCAACCAGTATCTCAGTAGCGCATCCGAAACTCATCCTGAATCTTCATGACACATGGTTGCAGTGTTGGACGGCTGGAAACGACTCGCCACCGACGCTGTCGCGGAGACTGCTTCGATTGTGTCAGGCGAGAAGGCTGGCGCTTCGGAGCCAAGCTTGTGCGTGGCGCGTCTCTCTGCCCAGTTTATCGTGTTTCAAGCATGTCTGGAGTTTAGGAAATTTCCCTTGAACTTTGAACTTCAGTCTCGGGGAGACTGTAAGGTACATGGTTTCAGAACGTGAGAAGGCACTCAAGCGAGAATTAGAGTCGCCCATATGCGATCCTGGTCTGCAAACATCTGCTTCGGGCTTCCAGAAGGCTTCCGAAGCAGTCTGCGCTGAGGAGAGCTACGAGGAGACAGAGGAGAATTTTCACACGTCCATCGACTTGATATTGGACCATGGGGAGGATGGCAAGGCACAGTCACGTCATGCCCGGCATTTTCTGCAGTCGCACTGCAGTCTGCCGTGGACTGCTGCAGGGCCCAGGTGGTGCACCAGCAGAGGCAGCTGTTCTTTTCGAAGCTCTGTGTGGGGGTTCTGGGGGCCCTGATGGCGTGTGCAGGTGCTGGTGGCATCTCACAATCGCGGTTCCATCGAGCGGACAATCCGCAAGATGGCAGAGCTCGGCGTAAGCCAGGACATCAGCACGTCCTGTGTTCATTGAGGGGATGGGGCGGGGCAGAAATTATGCGAGGGACTCGTGACTTGCACTGAAAGTCTTGTCCGCCTGTGAATCCGGCTCAAGCTCGAAGTGGGACTTGCGATGCGTGCGTTAGAACATGGAGCTTCTGGAATCTCCGCAAAGCGTTGTGGACTCTCCACCGGAGGCTGAAGTTGACGTACCAGAGATGCAACACACATGAGTTGCGTGTTCGCGCGCTCTTGCGCACTCTCGCGCGCATGAGTGTGTGTGTGTGTGTGTGGGCTTTGGCGATCGTGTGACTTGCCATGTTCAGACGGCTTTACCTCGGAAGCTGCCTGTCTCCGTTCACGATCTAGTGTTGTCAGCCCTGCTGATACGCTTTGAACCGGATAGGGCCTTGCACTTCCTTACTGAATGGTGTAGGTTTTCCGCTTGTTGGATGATATGTACACATGTATACGCGAGGATGCATATTGAGCAGTGTATACATTGCAAGACAGTGGCAAACGATGTAAGGTTTACATAATTACACACGTGCCGATACCCACGAATTTAATGCAATACAGGTTGAACATTTGCGAAGTACAAGACAGTACTGTTCATTGTAGCTGATTACAACGGGACAGAATACAACATGTTGTTGTATGCACGACGTGCTTCGAGGCAGAGTTGTATGCTGGTATTCCGATACATAATGTTGCAGTATGTCGTTGTATCTCGGTACTGGCATGTTCGTCGACTCTGTTGGCCAGCCTCGTCAGATCAAGTTGTTCGGCATCTCTTCAGCGAACGGGCGCTGGCCTGCCCCATGCCCAGTTCAGATACGAAGCGGCGAGGTGGTATTCCCACTGAGACTGGCAGATGCTTGTGAGTGGGATGCTCTGAGGAAATATTTGGTGCGTCATGGCTCCTTCCTGACTGGGCTCTCCTCGCAGTACGCTCTTGCGCTTCTTGGCGAAGGTTGTCGGAGTTGTCGGGTCGGGGGTCTTGTCTGGTAGGCACATCTCGCGCAGTGTGAGGTTGCGTGCCTCTTTTTGGGGACCCTGGTGCTTGATGGGGTGACGACGCGTGATGGCCAAGCACTCAACTTCTCCAACAGTCCAACGCTCTTTCGTGCGCCACTTCGTTGAATGTGCTGCCTGGGCCTAGGCTGGCGCTTCCTCATTTACCTGACACGCTGGAGCTTCCTTCTCGAGACTCTCTACATTTTGCTGGCTGTATACGTCACCGTGCAAGCGCGCACAGCCTCCAAGAGGCAATCGACTGGCGATGACGGCAGTTCTTTCCGTGAGCTCTACAAGCTTCCGAAATCCGTGTCTTGCACCACTATGGGGAAGTTGTGAGCCTCAGCATCTTCTGTACGGTTGTGTGATATCTGACCTGGCAACTCAGGTGCAGGCAATGGCGCTGCTTTGGAACTTGACCTTTCCGATTTGCATCATGGTGTGCCTTGCGTTTTGGACACTCATCAACCCGATTTGGGACATGAAGATGCACGTGGGATATGCTACTCGATTGCACTGCTTCTGGTCAGTGACGCTGACTCAAACACGGTTTGGTTCGGTGTTGATGCGCGAGGGTTTAGCATGACCATGATTACACGTCCGTTGGATGGCCCCAGCTCTTAATTTCCGTGCTGTTCCCATCGCCCCACTTGCAACATGCAGACGTGACTCCGCATTGGAATTATCTTGGTGTGCCGACTCCTTCCGTTCCACAGCTCTGCCTTGAGTTTCAGGCATTGCTCTTCTCCTTAAGCCTCGCTTCGGATGGTGATGGATGGTGTATGATTCGCTTTGCTGGGAGAAGCGAATGTGCCGGTAGGATGGCCCACATTCTGCGAAAACTGCGGGTTTGTCATCGTCATGATGCAAGGGGCAGGTCCTGCTTGGTTGTGAAGCCGGCGTCAAACTTGAAAGGTGATGGTCTTCGAGCATTTCTTGAACATGCTGTTGTTTTTCGTGGAGTTTGTCCTAAACAAGAACATCTTCATGCTGAAGCATGGGGTCATCCTTTATGCATACGCACTTCTGTACCGTGGCTGCATAGTGAAGCTGCTTCGACATTTTGATATGATTTGTGGCTGTTCCTCGTTTGCTGCTGTTGTAAAGGTACACAGTGTGGACCTTGATCCACTATGCGACCAAGATTGGAGTTGCTCCAGCTATGGCATGCGGGACAGACTTGTTGCGGTGCCAACACTGGCTGTTGTTTTGGGCAAAACGGCTCGCCGGGCGGCCATCTATTCAACTGAAGGACCTACCCTTTGGACGAGTGCCCCATTTATGCGGTACTTGACTGGCACCACCCTTGGAGGACGAAAACCACAAGTCTGTGTGGTAGTGTTCCACGTTTGGCTCACAATGTCTGTCTGACATTTGTTATCAGGACTCTCATCGTCATTTTATTTGCGGCCACCTCAGCTATCAAGCCTCTTGAAATCATGCTGATGATCATCTTCCGCGATCTGAATAGCTCAGGTGACGCTGGCAAGTCTTCTCATCCAGCTGGCAGTGTGGAAGTGCACTCGAGTGCGTGACCGTCGATTTGCGAAGGAACGCGCGAGACCCACCGTAGGACCAGTGAATGTGGTCTAAGACTTGGCCGCATTGGAAAAAGGTGCGCTTTCTTCCGGTGCTGGTTCCGTTCGATCTGATTATGGGCAATTCTCGAAATTTAGAGAACTACCCAAATAAAAGCAGCCTTTGACAACGGAGTGAGAGAGTGAGATGTTCGGCGAGGATCGCGTTGGCTTTGGGCAACTTCTGGGAATGGCCGATCATCTCACATTCACGACTCTCGCCCCAACAGAACGAGAGGTTTGTCGAAGAGCGTAAATGACCTCTGGGGCGCGTCTGCACAAAGCAGCTGAGGCTGGGGCGCTATGGCTACAGGTCGCCTGACATCTCCATCTCGGTTTGCTCTCACGGAAGTGCACCTTGTTTGTGGGGGAGTCCAATGTGTCTTGGGCAGCGCAGGGCCTACAAGTATGTCCCTTATGGACCCGTTGATGAAGTCGTGCCATACCTCATCCGTCGCACGCAGGACTGCCGACACGACTTGCACACGCAAGTGCATACGCACACACATTCTGGCATCCCTGCGTTCCTGGCTCGGAATATGTTTACGGTGTCCAGGAGAATTCCGCAATTCTGGGATCCCCCAGTGTTCAAGAGGAAAGGTGCCTTGGCTGCCTCGAGCTGCTGGGCTGGAGCTGCTGCTGTCGTAGTGTTGTGTCAGGCACATGGTGGGACGAGAGGTGGCGCGACGGCTGCGCCCCTTGTAAGCCCGGCACTCGACCTCCTGCCTTGACTCACCCTGATCCCGTCACATCTCGGCAACGTCTTCGAGGTCAAGGGAGCCACGTCATGTACATAGGAGGACAGTAGCGTGGTGAGGCTGCACGATCGCAGCAAAGACCTGCGTGTCCGAAGCCAGAGTTCAGCGTTCGTTCCTAGCATTTGGCAGACAACCTATCCGACGCTGGATCCAGGCCCTGGGACACAGTACAGCAATAGGTGACTGCCGTCTCATCAATAAACAGATAATAAATGAAATTGATTTTCAAACCGCCGCATGCTGCTACCACTCCACAATGTGACACGGTAATGCTGAGTTGGAGGCGAGCGAAGCAGCTTGTGGTGGGGCTAAATAAGGGACGTGAGGTCCACTGCATTTGAGAATACACCTGCGACCGGTGCAGTATCCACGGATTTCCAGTTAGACCACAGCCGTTGACGGATCGAATGGCGAAACTTAGAGGCTTAGCGCTACGTGGATCTTGACTGGGCATGCAAAATACTTGCTGCAGGTGTTACACCGAAGAGCAACGGACATATTTCGTTTGATCTCTTCGTTTTTGCAAATTCATGTTTGTCTTTGGCACGTGGCCAAGTGGTCCAGAAAAGGACGACATCCAACAGGCGGTGTAACTTTGAATGTGATACCAACACGAGTGTGGCAGGCGTCTTGCTCGGAACTTCGAGGGCCTGTTCCCTGACCACGACTTGCAAAAGGACTTTTAAGTTCTTGGCAGCTTGCCGAAGCGAGAGCAGCAGATTCTTGCGTTGTCTCAATCGGGCAAATTGCCAGGAGCCGCACGTGGTCGTCACCCTCGCGGCACCCTCGTTCTTGGGAAGAACACGGGATGGTCATACATACTGCTCAAGCATTGTTCCAGCACGTCCCAGCCTTGTGACAGCTTGAAAACCGCACGCATCGGCAGAGGAAGCTCAAGGCTCAACAGCCCACCCGTGGCTGACTGAGCTCCAGAGGGTCCCCAGCGAGTGGTCTCGGAATTGAGTTATGTGATTAGCAGCGCTACCCACGCCGTTTTATCATGCAGGCCGGAGCTTTAACAAGCCTGCCACGGTGTGTGTAATAGTGAAAAGCGGTTGCGTTTCTGACTTCTGGGAACAGCCATGCTTTGGCATCACAGCCGCGGCCTTGTAGTAGCATGCCGTAGACCCGCTTAGACTCCTAGGACTCTTTGCGCCAAGGTCTCGGGCCGGCAATTTGTCAGGCATGGAGCGAGTGGCCGTGGTCTTTCCTAGCACTCGAGCTTGAGCGGGTCTTGCGAGGAGACACCATTGCCAGATGATTCGGGAGTGGACACGGCACCTTCCTCAGCCAGGGACCGCAAACGCCAAAGAGTCTACAAGAAAAGTGACATGCCCGCGGGTCGTTGAAGGCCGCCAGAGCATTCCAAAGTTTGTGCGTCGACCGGAACTTCACTGAGACTGTGTCAGGCTTCTCGATACTTTCCAGCCCCAGGCAGCTGGGCATGGATGCATTGTGCTGCAAAAGGATGCACGTGCTTCTTCGCTCTGTCAATTGCATGAACGTTTCGACACCACATGTACAGGCGATCGTCAGCTCTGGATTGGTACGATACCAACTGAGCTTCCTAACTCTGAGGATCTGGGACCAGCATGCAGTTACAGTTCCTTCAGTGTACAAACTGAGCGCTGTTGGGCAGTTCTTCGGCGACGGAATGCAGCTAAACCCGACTTCCCGAACTCGCGGCATACTGCTTTTGCAGCCCGCTGGTGAAGGAGCCGCGGACGCGCAATGTATATGGAGTCATCGGCGGTGCTGGGCTCTGTGATTTTTGGGTTCGAGACGATTTCTCGTTTGGGGCCTTTTGGAGGTGCTCGAGAGTTTGTGGAGGATACGACCCCAAGAGCAGAGGCGGGAGCAGAGGAGCAGAGCTCGGGCTAAGCTGCCTTTTGGGCTCTCTGTTTTCAAGCTCCTTGCCTCTCGAAAAAGGTGGGTGCAACAGCCAAAGAAGCTCTGTGCCAGGCAGGAGTCCTATGAATCCCTTTGCATCCGGCTTCTGCTACCTTTGCCTGTTGAGAGGCCTCATACACCGATTTGGAGTCTTCAGACTGCAACTTCTTAGCACCAGGCCCGAATCGGTTGAAGCGTTGCAGCAGGGAGATTTCGAAGTCCTCTTGCCTCTGCAGTTAGGAATTATGCTGCTGCGTGTGCTCAGAAATACCAGCACCTTCGCCTGCCTCCGATTGCTGCTAGGTGATCAGGATACCACTGCCGCATTGTCTTTCGGGCAAGCCTCGCTGGAGAAAGAGGCATTGCTTTCTGCATTTGTCCAAATTCTTGGTTCGACCCGAATCCTGGACAGGATCTGTTCAGTCATCTCACCCAAGGCACGTTGAAATCACTCAGTTTTGAGATCGCCGGTGAACTGGGTGGATTTCAGGTTGCAGCGAAGACTTTCTGCTGGGCTGCCGGGTCACAGAGGCTGCGACACTGACACGTGCAAAGCGTTGCTACTGCATCCTGTCGTGCCTGCAGGTTGATTCCGAAAAAACAGGCGGATGCATGGCACACGCTCGGTGCAGCTGTTGTATTGTCTTGGTGCATGCACGCAAGTGCTGCACAGAAGTAGCTCCGCAGAAAATAAGACACATGGGATACGTATTCGGACCTGTCCACCAACATCCCCCAACAGTAAAGCAGCTGGGGCAGCTAGATCTGGAGAAGTTGGGAGATTTACAATGCTTGACTTTATACGAGACTTCTATCAACAGAAATGCATAAAGTCAAAGCTTGAGAGAAGGCCGCACCGATCACCGGCCTAAGATCTCAGATGCTGAGTCAGCGAGTTGGGTCAACATGCTGGATGAGTTTTGCCCAATTGGACAGGTCAGGAACGGGCCATTTCGAGAGCCACACGTGATCTGCGCCAAGACACTCGGATGACCCCGCTTGCAGGAACGTCTTCTTTGGCAAGTCTCCAACCAGATGAGAGCCGAAACAGCCAGGCGGCGTTGATGCAGGACTGCTGTTGAAACTGTGCAAACATGTGCAAAGGTGGCAAGCCAGGGAGCGAGTGATACTTTGCTCCGTGCACAGCTTGTATTTTTGGTAAGTTGGTACTAAAGGAGCCTGCTGACGCTCGCCTTTTTCCGGAAGTGCTCCTCGCCACGCCCGAGATGTTTTGCCTTAGCCAAGAAGTATGACTTGCTTCGCACAGGTACACGGAGGCAAAGCCCCCTGGCTGAGCGACGATGAGGGCATGGGGCTTTGTCGTTTCAAGAGTTGGTTTGAAAGTAGAGGAGCTGGCACTCGTCGAGGTGCAATGTGGCTTCCAGGCATGGCCGGCACGGCTCTGTCAGAGCTGCAGGGATCCAAGCTTTGCTCACAGTTCTTGCGCCCCCTTCGGACCGTGCGCATGTCAGGCCAAGTCAAGGTTCGGTACTCCACAAGCTTCAGCGATGTAAGCCCTGTGCCTGGCGAATGCCTCGGCTTCTGCTTCTCCTCTCAACGCTTTCTTACTCAACTCGTGCTTCGGACGCAGGTACTGGAAGGAAGCAGGCTGCAAGAACGGTTGGGATTGTGGACATTGCCATCTTTGCCCTCAGGGCGAAATTAAGGCTTGCGGTTTGCACCAGCATGCCTTTCCTGCGTCCTTTCGCAGCTGGCACGGGCTCTGGCAGGCCCGAAAGAAAGCCAAGCAGGTCGTGATGCGTCCCTGCCCTGAGTGCGGGTGCCAGCGGCTGCCCAGCATTTGGGCTGAGCGAGGCCTCGCGGTCCCCGACCGGAGGACGAGCCAAGCTGAGTCCTCGGATGCGACTTGGGTGCTCGGACCGGATTCTGGAGAATGCAGTCAGTTCTGTCCGACCTTCTTGAAAATCTTCCAAAGACAACCCGATCCACGAGGCTTGGGAGTCTCGGCACTGAGTGCAGGCCCTCAGTCTTGAGCCGGGGATAAGGCAATGGGCCACTAAGTTGGGACGGACGATCTCCCACTTTCCGATGAGCCGTAGAATTGCTCAAAGGAGGGTGGTGCGTTGCCGTCATTCCAAGACCACGGAGTCGAAGAGAGAGACCTTCAACTTGCCAGGCCTGACTTGCAGCTCGGCTGACCGAAGCAGCATTCCGGACCTCGCAGAACAATGCACAGGTATGCCCGCACAGTTTTTGACTGTGTCATGTTTGAGTTGAACTCTGGTGGCTGGCATGCAGAAGCCAGCGGTCCTTGCGAAGCTTAGCAGCCGCAGGGAGGGCATGTATGCTTAATCATATTGGATATGGTAGGGGCGGATTGCATCGCAAGGCCTTGCTTGCTGTCATCCTTGCTGCGAATATCGTTCTTGCACCAAGTTGCGATTGGGAAACTGCGTGTTGCTGCAAGCTCCAGGAAGCAAGGTCGTGAATAGCAGAAATGTCCAGCACGGAGGAAAGTGGGAGGGCTTCGAAATGAGCATGTTCTGACTATACAACACATGCAGCAGGCCTTCTGGACCACATGTGACAACGTAAGCGGCAGCCACCAATCGATGCATTGCCTGCGCAGTTCTGGCGGTGAGGGCCAGTGCGTGCTCCAAGCATGGCCCTTCCATCTTCCACAGCTGAAGGGTTGATGACAGTGATGGTCTCAACTTGTGGTATCATGCATAACATTGCATGCTTTTTTGTGTCGTGGCATGTGAAGCCTGAGCATGCCATGACCAGCATCATACGAACCTCTGGACCATTTTGCTAATAAGCTGTGCTAAAGTAGCCATTGCAATTCTTGCATACCGTCTTCGCGCCCTCTTCCTTCCCGAACCTGTGTCCTTTCTCTTTGCTCGTTGCTCCAGTTCGTCGAAGCTTCAATTGCTACAGTGGAAGGCATCCCATGTGTGTCAGCTCAAGCATAGCCTGCGGTTCAACCATGGAACCAGTGCCTATGCTGGCTGCGACGTGTTGCGGACCAAAGTGGTCCGCAGCCCTCGGAATTCAGCTTGGTCCGTTGGTTATTGGGCTTTTTCGAGACTGGTCTCTGGACTCTGACCACAGGTCTGAGACAGCATCGTAAAGGCCTAGCACGGTGAACGGCAGCCCCGACTTCAGCAAACGATGCAAGGGAGGTTTTGCCGTGCACCGGAGAAATGTGTCATCAGCTAGACCGTGGAACGTTCCGAGCAGAGTGATCTGTGACTTGTAGAAGTCGCTGTCGCAAGACATTAATTGTCCGCGTGTACCGTGGCGGTCTGGAGACAAGGAGGATCGTGTCTGAGCCTGCTAGATCTGGAGGGACGGCAAACATCCCTCAACCGGTTTGCAATGAATTCATTTCAGTTGTCTCCGATGTCCGCAGCGGTTTTGCCTTAGAAGGGACGCCCCACCTGCGAGCCTTTGCTTCTGCCTGCCACAAGGCAGGAATCTGATCGTGCAGTCACTGCAGCCTTTGCTGCAAGCATCTGGTCAGGTAGCTGTTCAACATGCCACCTGTCTCCTTGTCGCTGGCAGAAGCTCCGGCCCGAGAGATGCTACTCGCCGCACGGCACGCACTCACTTCTTCAGAACTCGAGGCGCTTGGCATGCCTCAGCCCAGCGAGGCCGTTTCCTCTGGCGACTCTGCGTCTCTTATAAGACCTTTCTGATTGACAAAGGCTGCGGGCTACGCACGATCTCCCTCACCGCAGAAGCTGAGCTTGACGCTGGCATTGGCCTTGGATCTTGCCCTGCGAGATGTGTGACGGCAGTGAATAACACAAGGACTCTGCTCTTCGGTCTCCCACAACGTCAATGGAGCCCCAGAAGGTCAAGCGGCCAAGCCCACGTGGTGCCAGCAGCCAGCATCTGCCAGCTCTGCGCAATCTGGCAGGTGCAGCTGCCATCCATGTGCAAGAGACTTTGACTTTGTGCTTTTGAACATTAGTGGTCTGCTATCTGGACCTTGATGTTACTGAGGCCTGGACGCACCGCAGTCGGAAAGTTTGGAGGCACCAGAGATTGCCGACTTGCTTAAGCTGTTGCCGCACTACCAGGATGTGCCCAGCATGGCTGATCCCATGAGCCCATCATATGGACCGCTGTCCCCACAATGCACGTCCAGCTCCAAGCATGTCCACGGTTCTCAAGCCGAGCAGCTTTGGGGCTGAGCCTGCAAGGCCTGCAACAATTTCTCTGGCCTCCTTGGTGGTGACCTGAGACCGAACATCTTTCGTGTGTGGAAGGTGGAAATCGCTTCCCAGGATACAACGCCGGTTGCTTTGGGATCCCCGCAGTCGTTGGGATCCCCTCAGTCGTTGCCAACGAAGGCTGTCAGCTTAATGTGTGACAATCTGTTGATGCCGGATATTTACGTAGAGATCTTGGAAGCTTCCTATCTTGACAAGTGCGTGACCTACTTGTGCCCTTTGTGTTATAACCAGTCTTCATGCGGTAGGTGCTTTTTTGGCATCTGATGACCGATGTCATGGCCGATGTAGGTCGAACCAGAGAATCCGCTTGTTGTACCCGAACCAGCTGATGACGAAGAAGGCGCGGCTTTGAGGATTACTTTAGCCGGCAGCCGGCTTCCACTTCTGTCGCCGTCTGAAACCGCGGTTCTCTGCCCGCAGATATGACCACACCTTTGCTTTTGCTTCCGAAGATGCTTCGCTCGGATCCAAGGCTTTTGCAGGATTTGCTAGCAGTTTTGTGATTAGGATCCACCTGTGGTTCTTGAGGTTTTGAGGCCCTGGCAGAGGAGGATGATGCAGCTGCCCAAGACTGATCGCATCTTTCCAGAGGCAATGACGAAACGGAGACACGCCCAAGGATCCCGACTACATGATGACAAGCCTGGCTGACAGAGGGATACACAGGCCGAGTGGTTTTGGGGATTCGCGAGCTCCAGGCCCCAAGGACAACGACGAGGACTTGCCGTTTGGACAGAGCCGTAGCCAGGTTGCAGCTTCTGAGTTTATGCAAACTCGAGGGTTCTAACGCGTTCTGACGATGCCCTGGAGTCGTGTCTTAGGTGACGGACAGTGCCCAGATCTTACTACAAGCCCAGTCGGAGGAGCCTAGCTGCTTCGCCGGCAACCGAGGTGTATTGTTCCCACCGGGATTGCAACCCCCGCCGAACACGTCGCGAGCTTTAGCTTCAGCGCCTTCCGACAGGATCCAGCCAAGCACCAAGGCCGAGCCATGGCTCCGTGCTGCATGAGCAAGGCACGTGTCGTCCATGTGCCTGGCCGGCTGCTCAGGGTTTGCTCCGTTGTTTCCGGCCTGCAATGCCGCGTTTGCAACGCAGATAGGCAAGCTCGAAATGGCACATTGAAGAAGCCCCAGCATGAGGTTCCACAAGCCAGGCGGATGCAAGAACGGTGCCTGGCCCAGCTTGTGAAATCTACGGCTACTTGCTTCAATCCCTTTTGATTCGTGCTCCTTCAGGAAAGGAGTGTGGACATTGTCATCTCTGCCCGGAGGGCGAAATCAAGGCAAGAGTACAAACATGCAGAGAATCGCAGCTCCTCTACGACTGCGGCAAGAAAATGGGAGTGGCAGAAATATATGGAACGGGCGGATAGGGGACGTAAGAGCCTTTCTGCCGGCCGAAACCAGGAAGAGGTGGAGGTGTTCGAAGCGTGGAGTCGGCGAGGATGTAAGAGACCGGATTGGGTAGACTTCAGCTCCTAGGAAAGTTCCACAGGCCGATGAGAGCGGGGGTTTGTAGTTGCCCCGATGTGAGGCAAGAAAGCGTGCGAAGCAGACTGTGATGCGCCTGGGCCTGGCAACGACCCAATCTCAGCTTAGAGGAAGATCGATGTAAATTGATCCTCTGGGACTGTTTTGCCCCCACTGCCCAGTGTTCACGAGGCCAAAGGTGTCCGCTGGGTACGAGGAAGAGGAGGAGTCTTCTGTCATGGTTCGGACCTTGGAGCACATGTTTCTGGAAGCAAAGGTCTGCGAACCTCAGCTTTGTTCGAGGCGTTCGGAATCATTTCGCCAAAGGCGCAAGTGACGAGACGATCCATCAAGGCGTGTGAATGTCATACACCCATCATGAATAAGTCTGTTGAAGGCTTCTGTTTAAAATCGAGAAGCAGATGTGTGAGCGCAGTAACTAGCTCTGGAGTACCATGACGACATTGTGCTGAGGAAATCCTCCTGTAGGGACTGCTGTCAGGCTCCGTCCTTGGAACCCAGCCACAAGAAAGGACTCGGAAGTGGACAATCTTGGGCATGGCAGCGCTGCAGTAGCACCGCGCAGGAAGCCTCTCTGAAGAGGAATCTCTGACCACATGTGTCGGCTCAGAGTCACGGACCAAGCTCCAAGCGGTAGGACCTCTCTTACCAAGCGCTGCGGTGCAAGTAGAGTCATGAAGGCAAGAGATGTCTGACGGCAGCAACACCAGTCCGCAGCTTACGTGTTTTGCAATCGGCGCAGCAGTGCAGCTATGTGCCCAGCTGCGGCGTGGATAGGTCCGGAGTCTGCCTGGGCTACTCCGACGGCTGACTTCCCACAAGGATCTGCCCGCGTCTCACTAGACGCTTCTATGTTTTGCCCTCACAGCCACCGCACCCTTCCGTAGGTTTACGTTCGTACTGCGTACACCGTGTCTGTGGCACGTGGCAGGATTGACCTCCGACTCCGTGCAAGACTACCCCAGCGAGGTGCCTTCATTCCAGCAAATCCAGTCCTGTGCAAGACCGAAGACCTGTCTCGATGTGGCTTCGGTGGCAGGGCTCGGCCTTGCATGGCACTGGAAACTGCCGCCCCTGTGCATGGCGTGACCCCCAGTCACAGGTAGCTACAGTCACAATCTGCTGATATGTGCCGGGATGGTTTTTGGCCGTTGATGGTGTGATGAAGTTGTGGCATGACATATGCGCTTCAGGTTCTGGAAGGGGTCTGGCTGCCAAAACGGCCAAGCCCTTATTGTGCCTGTTCTTTGGCTTGCACAGGCGTGCTTGAACTCGGGTCTTCAGGCAAAGAATGCAAGCACTGCCACCTGTGTGATGCCGGAGAGATTCAGAGGAGGAGGAAGATGAAGCAAGCAATGATGCGTCAGAGCCTTCAGCGATGTTTGGACTGACCGTTGGAGCCTTGTCGGACTGGCGTGGAGCCCAAGCGGATCCAAGGCATGAGTCCCAAGAGCCAGAAAGAGGAGGCTTCGGAAAGTCTTGGCCCAGTCGCTTGTGCCTTGGTTTTTGCTCCCCTGTCAAGGCACAGAACTCCCGGCAGGAGACTTGGAGACCGGATCGGAGATTGTCTTCGGATCTCGTTTCGCCAAGACATGTTGCCGTCCACGCGTCACTGCTGCCCAGGTTTGCTCTGAGTCTTTCATCTTTGATTTAGTCTGAGACCGATCTTTTCTTGAGACTTGCTCTTGCCCACATGAAGCATGGTTCACGTTTTTGACGTTGTTCGAGCGGTACGAGATGAGCCATCAAAGGAACTTAAGAAAGAAGTACACGAAAGCTGCCTCACTCGTCAGCACCAGATGCGCGCGCAGTCTCAAGGACCCGCGGACAGTGGGACTGCTAGACAATAAGGGTAGCAGACAAGGTGAGTGCAGTGTGTTCCTGCTTCTTGTGGCAATTCGTTTGAAGAATGAGTTTTGGAGCAAGGCATTCCACAAGGTTTGCAGAACAGAGAATTAGGACACCGTGCTACTCAAGGGCATGCCGAGAGCCGCGGATGCTGTCGTAGGTACATCTACACAAGGGAAGTCTCGGCACCTGCCCGGCTACATGCTCCGGAGAGCATTTTCCGCTGCCCGAGTAGTTGTCTGTACTTGCATGCAACTTGGGGATGCAGCCGCAGTGTTGATCCCTGAAATCTTGGGCCTCAAGCTTGCCCACCTGCGATGCAAAGCCTTTTCAATTGACAAGGGAATCGCACCCTGGCCTTCGTTATGCTATTTGTTCCGGCTTTCGCAGGGAGTTGTGCATTGTAGGTAGTAGTAGTGCACTGCAGACTCTGCCTGAGAAGTGCACAGGCACTTTCCTGCCCCAGAGGGGCGGTAGAGGACACTTGAATCATCTAGTGACACAGAATGCTATCGATGCGGCCCGGAGCCTGAATGGACGGCTGCACGGGAATTGTGAGGTGCATGTCTGAGTCTCTGAATTGAGCAGCTAGTTTTTGCCCCGCAGTTTCTCCCTCAGGGTTGTGTCACCAGGCCATGAATTCAGAGACTCCGGCATCTTTGCATGTCTGTGAGATTGTCGATGGAATAGGGAGCAAGAGATGCCAAGCTAGCTGTGCAGCATCGGCGTGTGGCTGCTAGGCGCACTGCTGATTCTGTGCACCTTGACGGTTGGCTTTTGATGTGAACCCTGATTCATTTGCTTGTGAATTCTCGCCAGATGAGACATGCCACAACTGCAATAACCATCTCATCTTATGCAGCCGGATGTGCAAAACGGAGAAGCGCCTGCATCTTGCTCAGACAGCAAAGGTTTGGATGTGAAGGTTGTCCAAAGCTGGAAGGGTGCCTGTACCAAAGTCGCAGCGGTTGTTCGTCATTGCCTTCTCTTCACCTGAGGCGCTACAGACCAAGCATCGCCAGTCTGCGATGCTGCTTGGCTCGATCATGTTGGGGGACGCAGATGGTGGAACTTGTGCGAAAGCACCGCTGCGAGGTCCACTGAGATGCTTTCCGAAAGGCCGGGCGGAGAACCCGAAACGGCGCAGCCAACCCAGCAGAAGAGCCGAATTTGGTGACCTTCAGCTGTCTTCCACTCTGCTGCATGTCGCCTTCAGAGATGGCGATAACTCCTGAAAGCA